CTTCTTTTTAAGGCCGAATAATATTTATATATAAATGTTATATATACATAAATATATACATATATATACATATAACATTTTTCTTTATCTATTCATCTTTCAAAGGACATTTAGGTTGTTTCCATATCTTGATTATTGTGAATAATGCTGCAACAGTCATGGGATTGCATATATCTCTTTGAGATTGTGATTTCAGTTCTTTTGGAAATATACCCAGAAGTGGGATTGCTAGATTATATGGTAATTAAATTTTAAACTTTTTAAGGAATCTCTATACTGTTTTCAATAATTAATACATCATTTTTCATTCCCACCAACAATGCAAGAGGGTCCCAACTCCTCCACATACTCACCAACACTTGTGATCTTATTTTTTTAAATAATAGCCATCCTAGCAGGTGTGAGATTATATCCAATTCTGGTTTTAATTTGTATTTGTTAAAATGTCCATACTACCCAAAGGATCAAATGCAATCCTTATCAAAAAGCCAATGGTATTTTTTTACGGAAATAGAAAATTCACGTGATACCTCAAAAGACTCAAACGTCCAAACAAATCTTGAGCAAGAAGAACAAAGCTGGAGTCATCACACTTCCTAATTTCAAAATATATTACAAAACTGTAGTATTGAATAGTATGGTATTGGAATAAAAACAGACATACACACCAACGGAACAAAACAAATAGCCCAGAAATAAATCCACACGTATACAGTCGGTTAGTCTTCAACAAGGGTATCAGTAATGCACAATGGGGAGGGGTTAGTCACTTCAACAAATTGTGTTTGGATAACTGGATATTGACATGCAAAAGAATGAAATTCGATTCTTATTTTACACCATGTACAAAAGTCAACCTAAAGACTTAAACGTAACACCTGAAACTGTGAAACTCCTAGAAGAAGACATAAGGGAGAAGCTTTATGATGTTTTGGCAATGACACCATAAGCACAGGCAACAAAAGCAAAATTAGATAAGTGAGAACACATCAAGCTAATAATCTGGACAGCAAAAGAAACAATCAACCACGTGAAAATGCAGCCTATGGAGTGGAAGAAAATCCAAACCACTTGGATAGACATTTCTCCAAAGAAGACAAACAAATGGCCAAAGTGCCAATATGAAAAAACACTTAATATCACGAATCATTAGGAAAATGCAAATCTGAATCATCATTATAAATCAGAGCACATAAAATACGAATAAATTGAATAAATATAAAGGCTTTATTTTTTCCATAAGTATCAACATGTAGTGAATTATTCTAGAACCATTTTCTTTTTTATTATTGAGTAAATTATCATGTTGCTATTTTGAACCAGAAGACAATTGGGGCATATTCCCCTTGGGGCATCTCCTGTGGGTTTCATCAACAGTTGAGTAAGTAGATATAAACAATTTAAATTAATCATATTCATAGTTTATCTAAACCTGCTTTTGTTGTTTCACAGGTAAGAGAAAATTTCAGATCAGTGGCAAAATATTTTAGGAGATAGAACCTAAAATGTCAAGGTCAAATATGTTCTGACATGCCCAGTACTAAACCCTTTAGTTGATGCTTACTGCAGGTGAATAAATATAACAGAGAAAACAGAAACTATAGACTTTATGTTTGTAGAGTTAAGTGAGAGTGCTCCAAATTGAGTGTATGCTTTTGTTTTCCTGATGGAAGAAGACAGATCAGATTAAAGCAAGAAAAATAAGAAAAATTTATCAGTAGAGGGCAAGAAACATTTGACTATTCAACTATCTGGAGGCTTATATTTTGCTGTAATGATAATTGCTATAATTATCCTTTTCTTTTGCTCATTTTGTGATGTAGAAGCCACTTCATATTACTACTGTTTCATAATGTTTCTCTAGTCTCAATGTTAAAAAATATCTATATATATCAAGAATCATGTTTTATTTTACTGGGGTGACAAGTTGGGAAGTCAGTTACAGACTGAATTCATGGTATTATAAGAGGCAGAGTAAATTGGTGAAAGTGCATGCTCTCTGAGGGAGACTTGGGATTGGATCTTGGCTCTGGTACTTATTAGCTGTGAAAGTGCATGCTCTAGGAAGAAGACCTGGGATTGAATCCTGCCTCTGGTACTTATTAGCTGTGAGAGTTGCTATAAAGGTGAAATAAATTAATGTGCATAAATGTCTATTCTCACTGCAAGTGCTCAATATACTCCTGTTATTATTTTTCTCCTCCTTCGCAAACAGTGTTTGAATATTGAGCCAAAGATGTTTGGAATTTTCTTCCTTCTATTAAAATTGTTTTTTTAGAAGTGGCTTCATATTAATTTAAAAAGTTAGTTCCATACTATTAAATACTTCAAGAATAACAGTCATTTTCTCTTTATAACTCTGAGTCCTTTCAATATATTCTAATATTGACTTAGTTATACCCAGTATAAATTTTATTTGGCTTCTAATAGAAATGCCTGTTTCAAGAGAAATTTAGCAGAAGTACTTAACATTGTAGTCTCTCACTATCTTATTTACCCAAGTAAACTTAAGTTGACTGTAATGTAGCGAATGGAATAGTGGTGATCTGTGTGTATTTTTGGTATCAACAGATCATACAATTCACAAAACTTCTTTATTCTCTAAAGAATAGTCCAGAGACATAGAGTGAGTAGAGGAAAAAATTGTAATCAAAATGTGATTCATTAACTTTAATCTTTATTTAATTCTTTGGTTTGGGTGTGCATTAATAATCACAAAACAAATATATTGCATGTAGCTAAAGAATTAAATAACTGGCTCAAGGCTCTGGTCACATATATTTTTCAATGATTAGTTATAATATTAATTTTGTGACCCAATATTTGCTAACATTATAAAATAAGTACATAGGGGGCAGGCCTCGTGGTGCAGTGGTTAAGTTTGCATGCTCTGCTTTGGCGGCCCGGGGTTCTCGGGTTTGGAACCCGGGCATGGACCTACACACTGCTCATCAAGCCATGCTGTGGTGACGTCCCACATACAAAAACTAGAGGAAGGTTGGCACAGATGTTAGCTCAGTGCCAATCTTCCTCAAAAGCAAAAATAAGAAAAAAAGATTTTGTCATATTCATCAAAGTTCGTATTTTATTTCTTTTGATTCTCCTTTCACCTTATGTACATAAACTCTTTTACGTGTATAAACACTTAACCTCTGTTCAGTGTATATTCATGTCACACTTCCCATGACTCTTTAAAACAAGAACAAAAAACATACTTGGGGGTTTTCCAATCAAATTATTAACACATTTTAAATTAAATTTTATATTTAAAAGCCTCTTACAGTTTTAGAGGCCTTCAGAAATATTCAGTTAATTAGAGTAAGTGGTTTAAATGCCCTAATTTGTTTTGGTGTAAATTTATATTCAATACATAAAATCTAGAATTTAGGATTCAACCTAAAATCTGCCTTCTCTGATGTCTCATACGAGTATTTCTTGTTTTCTCTGCCTTATTCTTTCTAATAATTCTATGAAAACATTTTCTCCTGATATCGACAATTCTTCTAGGGAATCCTGACTTTGTCTTTCCCAGAAGATTGTTGGTCTGTGATTTCTTCTGCTTCCCTCACTATTTCTAATCCAAATGGCTCTTTCTCTTACTGATGGGATCCATGTCAAAGTATTGAAGCAGGAGCCTGACTTCTATTATGAGTTTAAATAATGTACAGAATATTTTTTGCAGCAGATTACGTGCCCTCAAGACTGCTTCAAATTTCCTGTGGGTGCGTATATAAAAAACTATAATAATAACCGTAAGGAACCCGAATAAAATCTATCCTTCACCCTGTGCTATATTATGGGCTAATAAGTGAAACTTCGGATTCAAGTATAGGTTTGATTCCTAATGTATTTAACAATGAGATTATGTGGAAAAGATTTTTGCTCTTTCTTCTTTCATTTTTTTCTACGTTTTTGCTCTTAAATACTAACTTTTATCTCTTGGTGTAAGCATTGCTTATTGTTGTTGCTACATTTTAATTACTGTTTTTTATGAACATCTTTAATCGTGACTCAAATAATAATCTAGTTGTTATTTAACTGGATCCACAGTAAACCATACCCAAACAAGCATAATATTTTGAAAAAAGTCATATATTTTTTCAGAATAGTTCTTCCCTTTTTTACCATTGTTTTTGATGGAATTGAAAACCATATAGAATTTAGATATCCAAAAGTAATAAATATGATCAATGGTCAAAAATGGACAATGTAATTCTTAGTATTTGAGAAATAAATTTGAATGAAATATAAGTTGTCATATAATTGCCTAATTCAATCATGGCTCATCATCCTGAAAAAAATCTTGATTAGTTCTTGCAGATATACCCAAAAACATCTAGTAGAGTTAGAAAATATTTAGAGATTAGCTCAAAAAATATTCCAATCCAGGAGATTGCTATTCTGTACAACCAACCTAATTAAGCACATTCTGTATTTAACATAATTGTAAAGATTCAATTTTATTAACACATTTTGTCTTCCAATATTTACTCCAATATTATAAAATAAAATTTATGTTCTCATTCTACAGGTGAGTAGATTATCACAAATCATTTTACACAATTTCTGAAAGGTCTAGAAGGCTGATATTTTATTCCAATGCACTGTACACTGATATCTATCTCACCAGTTTGGATGACAGAGGGAAATTATTTTTTAGCCAATCATTTGGCATTTTAATATGAAAACAACTAATAGAATACAGTGGCAAATTAACCAGTTGACTTGATGGTTTTAAAAATTACATGAATTCAGCCAATGTGTGAATACCCATATTTTCCATTTGATTCTGCAGGGAGTGGCATGAACAGTTGACCATCTGTCTTGTCACTGTTTCCTGATCCACAACTGGGAAATTATACATTGCCAAAAAGTAAATATGAGTACATAGCTCACCTTCCCTTGAGTCACAATATTCAGTCATGATATTGTTTCTTCTCTTTGTAGTAAACGTATTATAATTTGTGAATATTTTCAACATTGTCTCATGAGGTGTCAACATGAAGAATGTCACTGAAGTTACTGTATTTGTGCTGAAGGGCTTCACAGACAATCTTGAGCTGCAGATCATCTTATTCTTCTTGTTTCTAGCAATCTACCTGTTTACTCTGATGGGAAATTTGGGACTGGTTGTATTGGTCGCTGGGGATTCCCAGCTCCACAACCCCATGTACTATTTTCTGAGTGTGTTATCATCTGTGGATGCCTGCTATTCTTCAGTAATTACCCCCAATATGTTAGTAGATTTTGTGTCAAAGAATAAAATCATTTCATA